TGCATTGTTGCGCACTTAAAAAAAACCTTGGCAATTGGAAATCGAAAAGAGTAGCCTAACGGCACTGCCCGGGCAAAAAGTGGAGTTAAAAATCTACCAAGAGTATTTCAGAATCCCGCCAGTGCTACAGAGCCTGTGCACTGTGCAGAGCTTCTTCGGACTTGAGTTAGAAGAAGAACGGAGCGCTTATGGGTTACTACCCGTGTAACATGATGTTGATCCGTTGTTCAAATCTCATACCTCAGCTCAACATTTAATGGTCACCATAAGCACACATCTCTTGCCTGTGGCCCTTGGCAGATTTGTTGATGGTTAGCTGTTATATCTAAAACCATCAGTCGAGCGTCTGGTCAGTTCTTCATCTTGTTCTGCCATTCGGCGTCAGGTTTTGAAGAGGTATCTGCTGCCAGCATTTGTAAATGCCGGTATGTACGGTCTTGGATATTCCATCTATCCATGACTTGTGTGGTCAACATCTGGATCTGCTCCCATGCTGTCTTAAGTGACAGGGCTGTATTTGGTCAACTATCTGGTGGTAGTCTTGACACATGGTTGAACCATTTAATCTGTTGCTGATGTAGTTTCTCACTAATTCCGTAACATCCTTTCCTGATATCGTCATTTCTGATCCTGTCTGTTCTAGAAACATTCAGTTTTGCGTCGTATACATATCATTTCTGTTGTTTCAATTTTTGTTGCTGTCAGTCTAGCCACCGTCTCGCTTTGGTACCGAAACCGCTATGAAAGCAGTGGCAAACTACTGACCGTAAATATGCTTAGAAAAACTGCAACAGCATTAACAAAATAATGGGGTTTTGGTTCTGCAACGTCATGAAAAGGATACGCAACTTACTAGCCACGACGCATCCATATCGTGCACATCAGTTGAAGTCAACAACGCATTGCGAGTTGCTTGGTATTGAACAGTTGAAACATGTTATTTTCTGTGGAAACATTGGCTTATCATGGTCGTCAATGTGGTTTCCCCCCTTCGGCTAGTTCTTCAGTTTGTTTAGTCATACGTGCGACGTGGTTCCTGTACACAGTCATTCGTTCGTGAACTTTTATGTGCTGTGCGGTGTCATGTTGACATCTTCTCCACCACTTCAGGCTTGTGCCTGCGCTGAAGCTTAGTATCCGGATATGTTTTCGTTGTCAGCGAGAACTGGGTCTAATTACACTTGGTCATAGTCGAGAAGATTTTGCTCTTCTGTCCGTTGTCCCTTGATGGAGCATAGGCCCTCAACCAACAGAGCAAGTCGTCTTATCCTTCGTTATGGCATTTGGCTCACCCCAAGTTATATCTATCTATTAAACTTCAAATTCCCGTCATCTTTTGTTTTTGTCTGCCTTTATTTCTATGCCCCCGCGGGTTCCAGATTCTGACATGGGGATCGATGTGCAGATAAGCTGGTTATGACGAATCGTATTTGCTCTCTTCTTCTTCTTCTTCTTCTTCTTCTTCGTCTTTTTCTTTTTCTTCTTTTTCTTCTTCTTCTTCTTCTTCTTCTTCTTCTTCTTCTTCTTCTTCTTCTTCTTCTTCTTCTTCTTCTTCTTCTTCTTCTTCTTCTTCTTCTTCTTCTTCTTCTTCTTCTTCTTCTTCTTCTTCTTCTTTTTCTTTTTCTTCTTCTTCTTCTTCTTCTTCTTCTTCTTCTTCTTCTTCTTCTTCTTCTTCTTCTTCTTCTTCTTCTTTTTCTTCTTTTTCTTCTTCCTGTTCTTCTTTTTCTTCTTCTTCTTCTTCTTCTTCTTCTTCTTCTTCTTCTTCTTCTTCTTCTTCTTCTTCTTCTTCTTCTTCTTCTTCTTCTTCTTCTTCTTCTTCTTCTTCTTCTTCTTCTTCTTCTTCTTCTTCTTCTTCTTCTTCTTCTTCATCTTCTTCTTCTTCTTCTTCTTCTTCTTCTTCTTCTTCTTCTTCTTCTTCTTCTTCTTCTTCTTCTTCTTCTTCTTCTTCTTCTTCTTCTTCTTCTCCTTCTTCTTCTTCTTCTTATTATTATTATTATTATTATTATTATTATTTTTATTATTATTATTATTATTATTATTATTTCTTGTACTGCCTTCTATCCCTCAAAGGGGCATAGACCCTCAAACAACTCACGCCAAGTAGTTCTAGCCTTCGCTATTGCATGTAGCTTTCCTCATCTTTTCAACATCACTCTCTAAGGTCTCTTTTCTCTAATTTGTGTAGTCTTTCTTTATTTTCATTTTCTTCAATCATCATAGATATTTCTCTTCTCCACATTGTATCATCATGACTTAGTACCGAATTTTCCAGCGCCTGACCCACTAGTTAAGACCCCGCGCTTTCGCTTGAAAGGACCGACTTCAGATGCCCGGTAATGTGGGGCATTGTTAACTTCTGACAAAACAGTCTACCGTGGCATATATATTTATGAGATTCCAACTTAAGCCACCAATCTCCACCTGTATCCCTTGAACCTCTCGTCCACTGTGGTTCCACTGGATCAAGTCAAGCACAACACGCTTCACCCTTTCCTTCACCACCAGACCTTGTCCATGTCTGTCCTGTCCAACAGGGTTTATATAACTGACGTACCCCGGGCAATCATTTATGTCTGTATTTAGCTCCTGGAGCATGATGACATCAAAATCAAAAATCAACCTCTCCAGTACAGGACCTCTCTGTCTAGCACTCCCACAGTTCCAGTATACTACTCTTACATGATTAAAGCTCAATCTCTCCGCTTTTCGTCTTGTTCTCCTAGCACCTGCCCTCCTATTTCTATGCCTTCTTCTCTCTCAATTCCCTCGTCGTTTCCTCCTCACTCTCTCTTCACTAATTGCTAAATAATGTGTCAAGCGCAGAGCACGTGCCCTGTAGCTCCGGCTACGATTCCTAAGTATATTTTTAAAATCCATACGAAAGAATAGAGTACTGCAGGAAATGACCGGTCACCCTAGTATTGTCTGCCTGCTAGGGAAGGGGCAATGGATGTCCCGTATGAGTCCAAACGCCTGGTGCCGCCCCGCACGCCCGCCTGATGCCCAACGTTCACGACCAGCTCACCCGTGGTCACCCAGTTCATCAGCACGTTGGCCCACCTTAAACTTGGGGGTTTATATTCGGATTTTGCAGTCTCCTATTGGACTGCTGTCCAAAGCTAACGGGTTCCATCTACCCGGGGAAAAGGGTTATAGCGCCTCGAATTGAAGTATCAGTGAAGTGATGAAGGAGATAATTAAAGAGATAAATATTAATATAGTTATAGCGCCCCGAAGTAAAGTGAGCTATCAGTGAGGTGAAGAGGAAAATAATTAAAGAGAATAATAATAATATTGGGGCAGAGTGGACGGATCTGCAGGTGACGACTGTTAACTGAACACCCCGTGTAATGAATGTACTAGTGTCTCCTCCACACTTGATCTCTTTAGTGCTGATTCAACACTCACTATGTTGTCTAGGTGTTAGGTCACAGCTCATTCTAACCAGACGGCATTTCTCTCCACGGCCACACAAGTTCAAACGACGATCGACACCAGCTGACACATTTCACAGGTTTATTATCACTGTAGCACAAGACACGAATCAACAGTAGAACCATCTTACACCATTCGGGCAATCACGCCTTGCTCACGCATTAAGGCTCCAGACATGCTTCAGGCGATGGACACTGGCATATACACGGCTGGCTCAACAATCAAACCGTGCAACACCACGGCTGGCCTTCACGATCATTCATTCGACTCTGATTCAGATCCACGTGCACTCTTCATTCTGGATTCACCTTTACCGATTCAGCTTCACATCCTTCCAGCCTGGGGCCCAGTCACCGAATGACCACCTGATTCTCAATCCCCCAGATCTCGCATTCACACGTGACTCACTTACTCTTGCCTTTCACCATATCTCCGTGAAACCCATGCTATCAGGGACTTACCCAATTATGCCAGTCACCCCCTGACGTTATCCCTATTTATAGCATCATTACATCCCCCGTGAGTAGACTGAGGGTGTATATTCTAACATGGACAAAGGACAGAAGAAGAAGGCACAAAAGAGTTAAAAGCAATATTGCATTTTCCTGTCTAACTGTTCTGTGTCTTCGGTTTCTTTTTAAAGAAGATCTTCTCTAGGCCGACCCAGGGATATTCACAAGCCAGCATCATCTGGATGAAGGCAGTCGTGTTAGTTAGGACTACGATTTCACAGAATGCGACAACAATGCTGGCATTCTTGATGTAGTAGCGCCACCTCCGATCTCGTAGTGTATGTACAGAAGGTACAACAAACGGCGACCAGGACAAGATGCTGTTGATGAAGTCTCCGCTACCCGAGACACAGGCAACGACGACCAAGGTTGCACAGATTCCACAGCTTTGTAAAATGTAATCGTCCCAACACTGTTGACATATTCCCCACTGATGTCAACACAGAGGCCGTAAACAGCTGCCAGAGCGATGACCGTTGGGGTTAAAAGAAGAATTCTTACATGTTTAAAAAACCGGTTTATTGTGTTGCCATGGTTCTGGCAAACTAGTAAACAAGCCAAAATCCCCAGAGATGCGGTTGTACAGAAGAATAATGCAAATACCCTGGACAGCCTTAATAGATGATACTAAGGTTCTGAATGCAGTTGAGACAGAAAGACAACGTATGACAATCGACAAGGCGAGGTATTTGTTATGTTCGTAATTACAGAATAAAACTGAATAAGCTATTAAGAAAACTTGAAACCTTTATAGAGCAAGAAATACAGTAATTCATACATAAAGAGAAGATATTGACAGCCTTTTATAATGGAACATAAAAGTGTCAGTATAGGAAAGGTCTCATGGATGTGGTAAAGTGATATCATGTATGCCACTTGGTACGACACTTTGTGATGACTATGATGCTGATTATGATGTTGATGATTGGGGCGATGATAGTGATTTTAGTGATGATGTTAATGATGACGAAAGGATGATGATGATAACGAAGACGACTAGGAAGAAGAAGATAATGGGATAATAGCGTAGCCTAACTTTGACACGACACAAAGCTATTGAGCAGCATCAGAGGGATCTTGAACTTCTTCTCTATACTGCCTCAACACCCTTTTCATATTGTTTTCCAAACGACGCATATTGTCGTAGAAGTACTTGTTTCTAGGTTCTTTGCCAATGATGTTTCTAAAAATTCTTCCGTCATGACTGAAAAACAAGATTCTAGGAACATAAGCGCCATCAGGCTCAAACTCTGGCGGGCGAGGCACTTCATCGGGCTCCAGGTTAACCATCACAAAATGTTGGCTTAATTTGTTGATTCCAGGGTGGGCCGCGAAGAGTGGCTTCACTCAAGCACACGCCGAACATCTTTCTTTAAGTACGATGACCATTAGTGGTTTCTGGGCCATCTGTGCTTCTTGGATCGCGTCCTGTAATTGCACCCGACCCTCTGGCCAATTCTCGGCCAGCAAACAATACTCCAAAGAAAGGAGAAATGCCAAAAGTCAAAAATCGAGAAAGGTTCATTGTCAGCATCTTTGAACTCTCTGGGTTCTGTCTATTTTTGAAACCCGCTGTTTACGATCTGTTTACAAACACAATTGTCGGCTGTATTCGTGGTTATGCTGGTCTGAACATCTCTGTGGCGGTAATAAACTGGTGTGTTCTGTTTTGCATGCATGGTTCACATTCCCTTCTTCTTCTGCTGCAGTTGATGAGCGCAGGCCCTCGCGCCAAGCCTCTTAATGCTGCTGTCACCTGCACCTCACCCACCCCCCAATCCCCCTACATCTGCTTCTTCTTCTTCGCTTTTACATGTAAATCTCGGTGGGAATCTCTGGTTGTTCGACCACTTCTTCCAGAACTTGAATATTGCGTGCAGATCCGTTTTAAAAATCTTACTCCTTTGCGTGCAGACGGGTTGTTTGACCTCTTCTAGACTTCTTTCTTATTCTAGAAATTGTATATTGCGGTAAGATCCGTTTTACAAGTCTTCCTTTGTGTGTGTGTCACTGTGTGTGCAGACTGTTGGTTACGCGGCTCTCAGGCAGACGCACTCACACCGAAAGAAACGTTAGTGAATTTCTCAAGTACTTTTGCACAGATGATTCCATTTATTGGGATTGACAGTAATTGTGAGATGTGGATTTAGCTTATGGACTATCAGTAAACCAGTTATGCTATTATATTATGTTTCCTGTTGTATATTACTTGTGTCAGTGTAACAAAAGTTATCATCGTCATGATAACTAGCTTTAATCTTATATGAGTTGTCTAGATGACTACAAGAGATTCCAAATTATGCAACTGAAAAAAAGAGATTTTCAGTTGGTGAGAGGGTGGTGGGGATAAACTGTGGGACCTAGCTATGCCTGCCTCTTCATGGGCTATCTAGAGTATCAGATACGCCATTCACATACCAGTAGGGTCCCCTAACTGTACATGAGAGATACTGATGATTGCATCGGTGTCATCGGTATGATTTTACCTGAACTGCAGGAAATTATTCATCTTTTCTCCAGTTTCCATCCCAGCATCTGATGCACTTCCAGTGTGTTGCCATCGTTGGCGCATTTTCTGCATTTTACTGCCACCATGGATTCTAAAGCCCTCAGTTCCTCTGTGTACTATAGGCCTACTGATTCCTGTGTTGTTGTTTTTTTTCTTTACACGTCCTCTTATCCATCTTCCTACAAGGACTCCATTCCGTTCTTCCAGCTTCTACGCCTCTACAGACTATGCCAGAAGAACGAAGACTTTCACCACAAGGCCGTAGAAATGTTCTTATCTTCTGCTCTTTTTCGAGCAAGATTTATCCGTCGTGTTGAGACAATGAAACCAGTACAACTTTCTATGAATTTCCTCTAGAGGCCTACAGAAATTGACGTAACCTCAAGGACATTTGAGTCAAGAGTCGTTTACGTCTTGCGTCTGAGTCCCACTTCGGCACAGTCTCTTGCCACAGACCTGAATGCAGGACATGCCTGTATATATGTGTTTCCGGAATCACGTCTGGAATTCCCGAATGAAACCTTCCACATACTTGAAGCATTCTATTGCACGAGCCGTATGGTCACTTACACCATCATCTGTGGCATCTGTGAATCGGGTCTAAGACTGGCTGACAGGTTCAGACAAAATCTTTTGAATGGGCAGATCCAGTTCCCTTGCACTTCAGTTCCCAGGATCACCAAGTTCTCCACGACATAGAGGTGACAGCCATTAAATCTAGCCACTACAATACTCTCCAGAAGGCTCTTGAAAACCTTTTTTTTTTTTCCACTTTGGGAACACTCACACAAAGGGGACTGAACTTTCTACACAGTTTATCTAAAATTTTCGACTTACGGCCGTTAGCATTCCATGGCAATATTTTCTCGAGGACCACGTTTTCCCAGTTCCACTGGCTAAACTTCAACGTGGCTGCTTCAGGATACTCAGACAGGTGATTTTGTGTGTTCGTGTGGTTTTGTTTGATTGACTATGTGCTGATAAAGGCTCTAAAGCCACAACGTTTACGTTTTATTTGTGTCACTTATATTGTAAGGCTTGATGATCTACTTTCACCGTGTGGATTCTGGGGCCCTGTTATATGGAAAACAAGAATAGACCCACTGCCTACCCAAAAGCATGTCGTAAGAGTCGACTAATTAGAAGCTTTCTTCAAAGTCGTAGTGCATCTGACAGGCAAGGAACCAGCAGTCTGCATACAAATGGGTCTGATCATTAGAACGGATGCACACGCAGCACTCAGGTTCTGGAACAAGACTGCAGTCCAGAAGTGGATGAACAACCAAAACATTAAACCATAGTTTACAGCTGGTGAACACGAACAACAAGAAGAAGAAAAATAATCCTTTTACAGGTCACTCTCCACCCCCCCCCCCCCCCCCCCCCCCCCCCCCCCCCGCTTTTTCTTTGTTGCCGACTATTTTCTTACAAAATTTCAACTTTTTGCTTCTATGCCTTACTGCATGATTGTAAATCTTGTAAACCTATGCTTGACTACAGCCATCTTGCTTTCTTACAACATAATGACTTGGACTTCACCTAAATGACAACACAAAACAACACAAACCGAGGGAAGGCTGTTGGTTAGCCAATCAAAAGTTATCTCCAGGCCACCATGACGTTTAACATGACCAAAATACCTGAACTTCCTGGACAGGATGCTGTGTATCAGTCAATTCTTCGGACTGGACACTGTGGTCTTCGAGCACACCTGTACAGGATAGGCATAATTCAATCTGCTGTCTGTGATTGTGGAGCAGAAAGACAGACCCCTGAGCACATACTGCAGTACTGCCCTTACCTCTCCCAGCAAAGACTGTGGATCTGGCCCAGGGGATCCACATTGCGAGAGAAGCTATGGGTGACCGGTGGCGACCTTAAACGCACAATCCTATTTTTGACCCAGACGGGACTCAATGTGTAACATGACTGATGTCGAACGAGAAGAAGAAGAAGAAAAGGTCAGTTCTCCTCGGTGATTAGATCATGTAAGATGTTGATCTTCTTCTTCTTCTTCTTCTTCTTCTTCTTCTTCTTCTTCTTCTTCTTCTTCTTCTTCTTCTTCTTCTTCTTCTTCTTCTTCTTCTTCTTCTTCTTCTTCTTCTTCTTCTTCTTCTTCTTCTTCTTCTTCTTCTTCTTCTTCTTCTTCTTCTTTTTCTTCTTCTTCTTCTTCTTTTTCTTCTTGGTGCACAGTATTTAAAAAAATTGTGTAGTATTTCACTTCAAAAGTCCAGGAATTACATCTGTATGTTGCTACAGGGAAGGTGCGTGCTTTCAAAATGTTGAATTTAATTGCATTGCTGGTGGTTAACTTTAGACCTTTAATGCTGTTTCTTCAGTGCCCAGCTATGGCGATCCTTCTTTTGACTTCTGTCTCTACTTATGTGTAATATGAAGCGTAGATGTTCAAAGAATCTCCACAATGTTTTTTTTTTTTTACTTGCTGTTTTATCAGTGGAAATAATAATAGTTATTATTTCTTACATTCAGGTACAAATTGCTATCTTGACTCTCCGGTTTCCAATCCTTCTCACTTCCCCCCTCCCCACCCCCAGTCTCTCTAGCGCTCTCTTCTCTCTCTCTCTCTCTCTCTCTCTCTCTCTCTCTCTCTCTCTCTCTCTCTCTCCTCTCTGTGTATTTAATCCATTAAAAAAATATAAATAGATAAATAAAATATAATCAGTCCTTCATTAAGTTTGCACTTATTTTTTTTTCTCTTCTAAGTTTTTTCTTTTATTCCTGTAATGTAGCTGACGAAAGAAAAATAAATAAAAGACTCTTGTCGACGTGTCCTTAAAGTTAGTATAATTCACCAAAAAATAATATCTGTTATATCTGTAGTAGCGCAGATTTTCGTTTAGTTGCAGCCAATCTTTAATCTGTATTATAGACATATCAAAGAGTATTAAAATCCTTCAGTTCGAAGAGAACAACAGGCGAAGGGACAGGGTGATTAATGTTTGCATTAAAGAAAAGGTTGGAACAAGGCCGTGCCTGAATTACGTTGAAAGTTATCGAAGTGATTCGGCGACAAAGTAAATATTTAACCTGCACACTGTAAGTGCAATTTTTTACAGTGAAATGAGTGGAAGAAGGATGCGAGGGCTGTATCCATATTCAACCTTGCAAGTATACGCACGAAACAAGCAGGGTTCTATGCTGGCACAAGCTGGATTTACCAATCATGCAAACTTCTTGGTTGTGTGATAATAATTATATGGATTCCAAGTCAAAGCATCAACCAGAGCGATATTTATTATATGGATTCCAAGACAAACTATCAATCAGTTCACGGACAAAGTCCTGAGTATCACGAAAACACTGTGAATTTTCCTGGAACTCTTCAAAAACGCAAATAACAGAAAACGTGTAAGGATACTTGACACACGTCTGCATCTCGTTATGAGTGGTGGAATTGGTACACAAACGAAGGTCTTGTAGATACTCTTGCCTAAGAAACATACATACAGATTTTGTAAGCTGCATCAGATAAAGGACATACCAGTCGTCGGCGAGTCGTTGCTTCCATGGCTTTTTGAGCCGTGAAAGACAATTATACCGCAAATCTTCGCAACTCTCCATTCTATGCCGTGTTTCCGTACAATGGGCGTAAAAGTCCTCTGTGATATTAGCGAAGTTGAACTGGACCAGTATCCTGTCTGCTTTGCTTTCCTGTTGTCCTTGAAAGATGCACTGAGCGTAGCCACAGCTCTCACCTGGAATGGTACATCAAAGGAGATTATTACAGTAAAACCTAAAGTTCGTGCATGCATGGTTTTCTTCCATTTTTGGCTACTCTGTAGATCTGACTTTCCGAGATATCAAAGGCTCAGTGTGGATGGCTTGATATCCTTTTCAACCTCAGGAAAAGAAAAGACAATACAAGTCTGTAGTGTTGATCGGGAAAAGAATAGAACAATTAAAAGTACAGGGTAAGTTCTATACCATTGGTGACCCCGTGTGGGTTTCGGGGTCCTCCTGTGTTGGGGGGGGGGGGGGGGGGGGGGGGCGGTGAA